AGAGAGAGATCTACAGGAGCAGAGTGGTGCTGGCCGGGAGCAATCACAGGTCAAGAACATCCTGGTTTTCTTCTTTTAATATTGGAGATTCAGATGAGACGTTTAAAAAATGATGTGATTTAATGTTTGAACATGGAAAATATTGATTCTACAGTATTAATGTGATTTTAAACACTGACCAGTGGAAGCCTTCCTGAATATTGATGGGACTGAGGTGATAGGTATTGATAATTAGTCTATTCGCACCAGTTGAAAGGCGGTGCCAACAGAGCAGTCTGGCGTCCTGGTCCAGGCTCCGGTTCAGCAAGGCCAAAGAAGAAGAAAAGAAAGGAAAGACAAGGAGAAAAAGAAAGACAAAGACAAAGACAAAAGGAACAAGGGAAAAGATGGTAGGAAGAGAAGAGCCGAAAGGCTGGTCGCCCAACAGCCACAACCAGCCAATCAGAAGAAGGCGCCGGCAGGAAAGCCAAGCAGCACGGTACCGCCACCAGGTAGATACATCCGTTTCTCTTAATCGAGCTGCAGGATTATAGTATGAATATGAATGAAGACACGTGAGACGATCAGGTGACTCATGCTTGTTTCCAAGGCAACCGAGAAAGGGCATAAGACGTTGGGCGCGTGATCGGGGCTCGGCCAACGGAAGACGACGGTGAAGAGTCTTCTCCTGCCGAATGTCGTACGACGGAGAAGCGCCAAGCTGAAAGCCTGGGACATAAACCGGCGTGCCGGGGGAAGCTGTGGTCGGTCGTCCACATCATTCCAGTCCAGAGAGCCATCACTGAGGGACTCCAACCCCGCGAGATCGAGATGGTTTGACTATGAAACCCTCCAAAACCCCCACCCTCTGCGAGAGCTGGAGCGCTACGTCAGTCCGCCTGCAGAAGAAAGAACAAAGGAGCTAGCTGCGTGAGGAGCGTCCATAGTACCTGCACACTACTGACACTAAACTGCACACTACTCACCTACTGCACACAAAACATGGAGTTGTTAAATTCCTGCGACATTAAATTGTGTATAGAGTGGATAAACCTCTGTGTGTGCGATCAGTGTGTGTGTGTGTGTTCAGTCTGTGTCGGAGGAAGAGGAGGTTCCTGTTGAGGAGCTGTCATCAGAGGAGGAAGAAGAGCTGCCACTCAAACGACTAGCCCCGCCTCCTGAGGCCCCGCCTCCTGCTGCCTTCTCTAAAGGGGGTGGGGGGTGGGGGGTGG